GCAGACGCCAAGAGCCGGGCAGGCCAACCTGGGGCTGCCGTGCTCCCACTCGGGCGCGCATATCCCGAGGGTGGGTGCTGAGGAGGCGGGCTGGAGTTTAGCCGGCCTGCGTGGGCCCCTGCGGAGCCAGGAGAGGGCGCTCTGTCACCTTCAGCCATATCTCGCCCCCACAGTGTACCCAGCCCTGCCCACCCCGTGTGCCCGAGGGAGGAAAATGGATGCGCAAGTGGATGGATTCGTGGGCATCTTCGAGCTAAGTGCAATTTCCAGGCATCCAGGAGACAGTGGTCCCAGGAGACCCACCCACCCCTGACATTCATCCGGAACAGAGGTGGAAGGATTCACAGTCCCGTTTAGGAAATGAAGTGGTAAGTTTTTCATCAAAAGCCCAGATACTGCGGTATTCTTGCTCCATCACTCACTGATGTCTGTCTTTTACCTAGTCTATCGGAGGCAAGAACTTTAGGGTAATAGTGAGCATGGGAGTGTTGTAATCAGGGTTTGCAAGGGAATAAATTTAATACAGGGCACATAATTTATAATATGTTATAGTATTCATCCAAAAAGTCAAATGCAGAGGCATGCAAGAGATCTGTCCAGACGCTAGAGACCTGAAGAATCCAGCTGAAAGCCTGTTCCACATGGCAGTGTCCCACACAAGTCCAACTGAAGGCCTAAAGCCCAAGGCAGTATCCTCCACGAGTCCAGCCAGGGGCCGAGAGCCCACGGCGATGTCTCCTGCAAGTCTGTATCAAGGATCTGCACCGGGAAGGCCCAAGTGCTTCCACTGGTGGAAGCCATAAAGTCTGCACCAGTTGGGTAAAGGATCTGTGCCATCAGGCTGAGGGATCTGCCCTGGAGTCAGGAAGTAATGATCAAGGGGAAGACCAGAGCCCCCCTGAGGAGAACAGCAGCCATCCCCCGTGACAGCAAGGACTGGAGCTCCTCTGGTGAAGAGAACAGCCGAGTTGGTATCACAAAAACCAGCTATGGCAAGCTTCTCCAGGAAAATTAGCACTATGCACTATTCCCCTCCAGTTCTCTTTTTATGCTGTAGGTAACAATCCTCAGGTCCGTCTTTCATGCCCAAACCACACTGACTCAGTTCAGCTAGACATTCCAAGTTGACCATTAGTTAATCTGCCACAAGGGGAATTTCTGTATCCCCAGGGTTAGTAATGCAATTATTTTGTCCTATTTTTATTATAAAAAATTCAAACATACCAGAAAGTCAGACAGATTTTACAGTGACACCTGTACACCCACTGCCTGGATTCTACAATTAACACTGCACTGTTCTGTACTTAATATTTATCTGTCCCTTTTTTCATCCACCAACACATGCATCTCAACAAGCTGTAGACATCTGTCCCAGCTACTCTGGAGGTTGAGACAATAGCCACACCCCCCAATTGGGGACTGAACCTAAAGACAGCACATTGAGCTACATCCCCAGATCTTTGCTTTTTAAAAATTTTGAGACAGAGTCACAATAAGAGTTAAAATGCCCATGGTGGGGCTTTAACTTGCTATCTATCATCTTGCATCAGCCTCCCAGACAGCTGGATTATGAGTGCTACCAAAATGGAAAGTATTACAAGTTTGAAGGTGGACTGGGCAATTTAGTAAGGCATTGTCTCAGAATTTAAAAAGGAGATGTAGCTCAATGGCAGAGCTCTTGCCAAGCATGCATGAAGCCCTGGTTCCAACCTGCAGCTCAGACAAAAAAACAAACAAATAAAAAAAACCCCAAAACTTGTAGATCCTGACATTTTCTTTCCCATCCCCAGTACTTCTAACATTATCTAAAGTTCACTATTTATGGATCTTTTCTTTTGCAGTAAATTACATTATTGCATACAATGAAATGCACACATTTTAAGTATACCTACCATTAGATCAATTCTGATAAGTATGTACAGCTTGGAAGCCAAACACTAATTTAGCCAACCTATCAACCAAATATCACTAACAGATCAGAATTCCTTCAAGTCTCTGCCCAGTAAATCCCCACCCACATACCCCCACAAGAAAAGTTTTGAGTTTTTCTAAAATGTTATTTTTGCCTTTATAGAGCTCAGTTTTGCCTGTTTTGTCTCCAAAATGACAGAATGATGCAATCTCCTTTATGTAAAGCATTGTTTTTGAAGTTTATGTTATGTTTTAGTAATTTGTTTTTATTGCTGATTTTTCACTGGATATACCATCATTTTATTCACTCCTATTGATAGAAACTAAGAGTGTTAGAAATTTTGGTTATCATAAATAAAATGGTTAGAAACATTCCTGTACAGCTGTGGATGTGTTTATCTCTTGGGTAAATACCTCCGAGTGGAATTCCTGGCTCATAGGAAGGTATGTACTTAGTTTTAGAGGAAACTGCCTGACATTTTTTTCAGATTGTCTGGACTAAGCATTAATGTATAATAGTTCCAGATGCTGTAACCTTCTGTGTCAGTCATTTCAGAGCTACATACAGTGTACTTTGGTGAATATAAAGCATTATCTCATTGTGGTTTTAATTTGCATTTCCCTGATGTGTTTGTTGGCCATTTGTATATCTTGAAATATTTTACTCATTTAAAAATCTAGTCTCTATTACTGAGTTTTGGGGATTCTTTGTACCTAGGATACTAGTTCATCAGACATACATCTTAAAACTGCTTTCTACCTGTGGCTTGACTATTTTCTTAAATTTATGTCCTGACAGTTTTTAACTTTGGTGAAGCCCAATATAGTAATCTTCTGTTTGGTACACTAAGAAATCATTACCCACCCACCCCCATAGGTTTTCTGTTCTTGTAGTCAAAGTTTTC